TCAGGGGATAAGTTCACGAGAATTCCCTAAAAATTTGGCCTGGTTTTGATGTTACCCCCCTAGATTTCGGGGTACTCACAAAACCCCCCATAAGTTTCTGAAAACTTCTCAATGTAAACCCCAAACCGCGTAACCCACAATTTTTAGCTGTAAAAAGGGTGTCATCTCAAAATGTGCCTAAATTTAGAGGGTTTTTGTGAAATTTACCCTAATTTAGGAGCAACGTACAATGCAGATCGTTTCAGTGCACTTAACATTTGACTAAGTCATCCAAATATGCTATGGCATTTCTGAAAGATGCGCATCTTAAATGTGAGAAGTCGTTGTACCAAAAGGGAAAAAAATCATGGGTGAAGGAAGGTAACTAGAATTATTTTGGAAAAAAACACTCTGGAGGAAGGAAAGTGATACCCATCTTCTAAAATCATTTGCTATGACTAAATTTAAAGCAAATGCAAGTTTCCTTGGGGCATAATATTTAGGATTCATCGTCATCAAGGCGTGTAAAGTTGACTGTTTCCTTGCTTGAGAAAAAAAGTCATCAACTTCTTCTAAACTCTTTTTACTTGGCAAAAAAAAAAAAGCAGAGCATGCACCAGTAATCCAATACTTCCACATTTGTTAGCTATAGGATTGGAACTAAATTTGTAGTTCATTTTAAAAGAATCACGCAGTAGGTTTTCTGATACCTCACTGGGTAGCTCCCGAATGTATCCAACAAACATCATTTGAAATTGCTCCATTGGTTCGCAGTTGTTGATATCGCCAAACAGACATGGTTTCTGCAAGGGGAAAGAAATTTATTTCAACACTCTTATTAGATTCATGAGAGATTATTAAAGATCTGCGTAAGTATATTTTTGAAAACATAACATATAAAAACCCTCAAATCTTCGACAAAAATTCATTTGGAAATGTTAACTATCTAACATGCAAACTAGCATACCGAGAAAGAACAGCAAAGATCCTCTTTGCAATATCAACTCAATCTTAATGGGGTTAGTTGCGGATAGAGCCGTATTATCACTCAACTGTGGATAGACCCCCTGTAATTCTGTCATTGCAGATCGACTCCCTGAGTGAAAATCTTTTGACTCTTTTATCCTCACAGAGAGAAACAAATAAACCTCCTTAGGGGTAAAAGAGTTATCTGCAATAATAGTAACTAAAGAGGGTCTATCCACAATTAACCCATCTCATTAAGTCAATACAAATTGTAAATAGTGGCAATACTACGATTTCATAAATTAGTCGCGAACGAACGCAACATGTGTTTTTGTAGTACTTACAATTTCCCTCTTACTTGTTCCAGATGAAAGATCCCATCCAATTGTTGCCGCTACTTTAAAAATACCTTGAATTTGAAGCCTGGCCCAGCCAAGGAAAACCCCTGAAACTTGATCCGGAAGAGAAGCCAAGGAACTCTCTTCTGTATACTTACAAAGTAAATCAGTATCAATCCAAAATCAGAGTTTAAATACTTGAAAGTTATTCTGACGTTTAGCAGCATAATTATGAGAAATAACAATTCTTAGTAATCATCGAAAGTTTGAACGGGGATATTACTTGCCTGCAACTATACTAAGTGCTGTACAAGCACCTTGAGCAATTCCTTCATCTATCAAGCCTCTAATACACAAAGGATCAATTGGCAATGCATTTTGAACCCCTGCACCATTAAATTAGTGAAAATCATGCATCGAATGAGAAATAGTATGAGCAGAAACTAGTGGAGTAGCTTCACAAAACGAAACTTACAGTCACTGAAGGCTGGGAGACCCCATAAATCAGGCTTAAACTCTAGAAGTGAATGAAGTACACAATTTGCTATCAAATAATGATCATCTTGATTCTGGAGAGATGGGACGGCTACAACATTTGCTCCCGAAGCCTTTGCAGCTCTCACACCAACTCTAGTTGAAAACAAGTTGCATCTTTAACAAGATTCATGGTGTGACGTATTAAAATTGTTGAGTACTGATAACAATAATAATAAAAAAAAGCATTACAGTTCACTGAAGCTTGTTTTGTTCTTAATTACTACAACCTAAAACTATCTTAATTACTACAACTTAAAACTATCTTAAGAATTGTAGCTCTAAGGCCTATATATACTGAACAATTGCACTAACTTCATCTCTAAACTCCAAAACCCTACAAAGATAAAATGTTATATAATGACCCATTCAATTTCCAATCTGATGGAGACCTTTTTTCCCTTCATGTACTCCCTTCTAGGATCACATTTTCATTATACATTTATTTTTCAATGGCACATGTACTCGCCTATGCCAAAAAAATATCTAGTTGTATTAATTTAAAACCATTCATCCATTGTATGACTGTGTACATAAGAAAATCTACTGCGTTAGACTAACCGCCATGAGTAATCAGCATCTACAAATACTCTAGCACTGATACAATTTAGTGGAATCTAGTCAAAAGCAACTGCATCATATCCCCTTAATGTATAGAAAAACTGAGAATGATGATGATCAGTAAGAATTCTACTTACGGTGAATCTTCAATCACTAGACAGTTCGATGCATCCAGCCCCAACCTCTTTGCTGCTTCCAGGAATCTGAATAACATATTAAATTCTTATACGATAAGCACATCAAGTATGTCCATGTATTGTATAAATAGATCATTCTTACCATTAATAAAAACTCACATGTCAGGAGAAGGTTTTCCTTGATTCACTTCGTCTCCACCAAGAATAACAGAAAACATATCCTTCCAACCTATGTAACAGTTCAAGAAGGTTCTGATTAATATGCAACTCGAAGAAGAAAAGACATACAAGAGATAAATTCGAATAATAGAGGATATTGTACAACATTTAAAGCTTGCAGATAGGCAGACAAAAAAAACATGTAGGGTGAATATCATTATTTTAAAAAAAAATCTGCATATCCTAACTTAAATTTATGGCATAAAGATGAGGAAAATCGTGCTTCAGATTTTAGTCCCTGCTCTGCTTATTCTTCGTACTTGCCACTTTCACCTATTATAGCTCTCCATTACTGGGGAATATGCGCGACTGTATAATTGGAAATATCTGAATGTTCAGAATTTAAGCCAACAAATAGGGAGATGATTTCCACAGGGAAAGCTATGAGAGTTTTCATCGCAATAGAGTGCCAACCTTGTTGGTGTGAGATTTTCATCTCAATATGCTTCCTTATGGAGTTTGATGCAAGTGCCAGCGGAACACCATGGTCATGAAGATGCCTGATAAGACGATTAACACCTGGAAGCGCCTTAGCTTGATGCCACCTAAATAAATGAAATATGAAGATCGAGCCGTCATTGAAATTCATTCATAAATCAAAATAGTACATCTAGATACAACACATGGATTCACAAGCTAATCTACAGGACAAACTTCTCAAATGCATCTTTCCTTTGTAATAATTCTTTGTTCATGACTATTGTTTCAGAAGTCCTGTTTCTTAAAACCGGGGAAGACACGTCACTGAATTTCTCCTGATTATGAGATTAAATGTATTGCATTGGCTCAAATAGAACAATGCCAGTACTTAATTATTATTCTATAAACGGGTAGCCTCTGGCGACACAGACCATGATCTTATACGAGAACTCCGTAACAATGGAGGCAACCGACTCCCTGTGAGTCATCCCCAACCTAACCTCTTTCATACTTCTTTAAATCAGTAGCTTTCTTATACTTCCACTTATGCGCCACTTTGTTTTTCTCATGTAACTCTGAGTAAGTTACTTTGAATATTTCCCCCAAATAAGATTAAATTACTTGAGACATAAAAATTTATATCTGGTGCACCAATGAGTTGTTCCCTAACTAATCAACTTGAACAGTCTTATGGCTCCTAAGTCTTACTTTATTAGATATGTTATCTGCTATATTTTGATCAAAATTTGGCCAAAAAGGATTGGGAGAAAGGAAAAAGGGAAACACCTTTCTTTTTTTAAACAAATGAGTGTGGTTCAACAAAGAGACATACAACCAGATGGACAATTGGCAAACTTAGGTAGTTTGAATGAACATTAAAAACTTCCCAACTTATTTAGCATGTAAGCGACCAAATAAGCCATCTACACCTTTGCTATATAAATTTGATGATTTAGAAGAATGGAGTTAACTTCCTTTGTTCGAATTGGTGTTGGCGTACCAGTCAAAGAATTCTCGCCTCGATTATTAGTATCTGGTCAAGTCCAAACAATTCTTTTCATATCAAATAAGTTTCAAATGATCAATCTTGGCGGAGACTAAAGCAATGACGTCCTAGAAATTTATATGAGACGACCATTACAGAAAAATTCATCAATTGTTTTGAGTCTGAGTTGGTTAGGACCCCTGGCGTCCTCGATACAAACCAGGCCAAAAGAAAAAGCAGTACAAGACAAACAAACAAAATTCTACCGTTCTTGATACAGAGGCATGATGGCATCGCCAAACTCATCAGCATCCATAGGCAGCTCATAATCCTCGACAATGGCGGTTCTCCAGCCTCTTCTCCTCCTTCTCTGGATCCGATTCCATCCCATGCCGGGCCAAAAAATCCTTCAGCACGTTCTTGGTCGCCCTCTCTTCAACCAAAACCACGATATCAATAATTCCGTATCATAAATAAATAAAAAAAAAGTAATGATGTGGAGATTGAATACCAGTGTCCAAAAGGGTTCCATCGAGATCGAAGATGACCGCAGAAATATTTGATTCGGCCATGACGACGAATGGCAACGAAAACGAAGAAAAGAAATGGCGTGGGTGTGTTTAAGAGAGAGGAGACGGGGAGATTTTAATGCAAGGGGATCAAAGAATTGGAATTGGGTTCGGATTCGGGTGAGTTGACGGCAATTGGGATCAAGGTCGGAGTCCATTACGAGAGGAGGTGCAGGGGTGGGTCGCATCGCGCAAAGAGTTTAACGAATGTGTTGATTGATTCCTTCTTCTTCGGAGCGGGCTTTGCGTTAGTCTCCCAACGGCAAAGACGAGTCTTTTTATGATCGGATCATACAATTTTATAGACTCTATCCGTACCCGGATCCGAATCCAATAAGGTACGCAAGAGGTAGACGTCTACTTTCGGGCTCAAATAAGAATATGCTAAAAGAATCAACCGTCTTGCTACTTGATATGAACATGCTCCTCTCTAGTACGTAGCCCACTACTTTTTCTGGCACCTAAAAAGGCGAGAAACAATTAAGGACCCTATGAGAAGCTCTTTTTCTTTACTAGTTGGATTGCACGTGCAATGCACGTGGTAATTTTTCAATTTATTATTTTATTATTGATTCATTTTATTAAGATTTATTTAATTTAAACCATGTATCAAATATATGGATAGAATATAATTGTCTTCAGGAGTTTTTTCAGGATACATGCTCAAGAGTTTTTTCAGGATACCGATTTTGAGATACACCTTGCGTAAGCAACTTCTTCACCCTATCACATGTATAAATTTTAGACCGACACCCATGCGCTTTTGCAATAATACCTGTCCTCAAGGCACATAAACTAAGTTGTGTCATTGCCCTGTTGAATAGAATCTGAGAGGATATGTCCACGAGTTGAATCATTTCTTGCATATGACTCATCAACAAGAGTTTGCTTGCAGTCGAGATCACAAAAAAATAGTTCATATGCATTTTAAAAGTAATAAAGTCAAGTATTCTCTGACTACGTATTTAGATTCACACAATTGAATGATAAATTTAAGCTAATTACTGCATAATTAATCAAAGCATGCAATAGTTATCAAACAACTATATGTGCATATACTTATAATTCATAAATTGTCCTAACAAATAACATTCAGTTTATCATCTTAAAAGCATATGAAAAGTTCATTAAAAATCCATCAACAGATTTGTAAATGTATTGAAAATTTAAAATTGTTCATGTTAAAAAAATTTTGGCCCCTTGATCATTCTTTTTCCACCTTTATCTTCTTTTTTGGTAATTTAAGAATCGCATCATCGCCGTCAATGTTGATTGTGACGTCCTCCTGGATTTGGATTTCTTGTGCTATTATCTTTCCTTGTGCACGTTCATCCTTTGAGTTTTCATCTAACTTCACAAGGAACCTGTATATCTTTCCGATGTTTAGCACAAACTTTTGGAAGAACGAACTCTGATTATTTCTCTGTTTTAATGAGGAAATAATTAAGTTCTTATACATGAAACAAATGGTTTTATATGTATAAAATATAATAAAGTAAGAAGTTACCTCTTTTATATCAGCAATGAATTTCTGAGCCTTGCATCCTATCAGAGTTTCTGCTGCGTTAAAAAGTGCCACTCTTGCACTATTTGTCTCATCTTCAACTATGATTTTAACTACATACCTACATTTTGTATTATCATTGTGCATCAGATGATATTTTTATATTTAATTTTTACATTTTTCTTTTATGAATAATTGATAGTACTTAACCTTGGTATACTATCTTTAGTGATTTGTGGATAATTTTGACATTTGTCATAATTATATTTTTTACTTGTTTGTTGCAACCTGTGCAAGAGTAGTACCAAGTCTCATGCCTATTTAAGATGTTAGTTATTTTTCCCGTAAAGGTGCCATATTGTGCCTATATAGTTGTAAAAATTTAGTTAGTTATAATCGTAGTTTATATATATGTAGAAAACAAAAGAAGAAATGAAAAAAGAAAAACAAATATGGAAATTTGTTATTTTTTTAAAAAACAAATATAAAACAATAATTGTAAATGCAGATAAAAGATATCCGGGATAACTTAGAAATTTTTAAAAAGTATCTAATCATGAAAATAATAATTTTTTAGGCACTATAGTAAAAAAAACACTTCATGTTTACTTTATATCTTACCAATGAAACTAAATTTATTTATCTCAGCTCATTGTGAAACTGAAGCCCTTGATTCATTAATATTTTATAGTAGGATTTATAATATCATACCTCTGATGATTTTTGTGATGCTTGCATAATGTCAACAATTTTGGTTTTTGCTGCATTTCTGAATAGCCTTGATGAAGGACCATTTGCCTTGATATCGTCTTTTGAATGAGCCCTGCATATAATTTTAAAATTTTAAAACTTTAATTTATTAAGTTACATTATTTCTTCTTTTTGAATTATCATTCTTGCATGTCCTTAGCAAGCTGTATTTCAGGGTTGATGCATATCGTTGACGCAATTTGCGAAGTCATGCACATCTCCCCTAGATGTATCATAGTTATAATTAGAAATTGATATTTATTGATATTTAATTTGCAATTCAATAATAAAAATGTTACTATTGTACAATGATATTTTAAAATCTGGTAGTGCTATTACAGTTGTCTTATTGATATTGTCTTCAATAATTGATCCTTTATTTTTAACTAAATATCCGAATAAAGTTACACACAATGTTATCCCATTGTGTAAGAAAAAGAAGACATTTTTTTGTTAATATATTATATTTTAAAGAACTAATTTATTGTGAAATAAAAGCATGTGTGTATCCTCTTTATCTATTATAGTGATGTCCCTCCTCGTGTCCACGTTACTATATCTTGTAACATAGTTGATCGTAGGCTTGACATTTGCTACTATTGTAAGAACATATGCACATAAATTTATAACAAGTTTAAAAATTATTTATAATTTTTAAAAAATAAAATTAAAAGGTTTTTACAAATTCTTACTAATATTCCTTGTATCCTCCCTCGAAATTGCCTCTTTGATTAAGATAAAGTTGTTCAATATCTTATCAAACCAGAACTCAGCTTTTGATTCTTTGATAGAGATGTTCTTAGTCAATGTCAACTCAATTGACTCATGTTCATTTCCGTAAAGCGGCTTTATATGTTTCACTTCTCCATTTGAGATGTAAATAACATGATTCTTTTGAAGCATGTACTTATACATTTCAATAGTTTCTCCAAATATAACACATTGTATTTTTTCCCCTGCAAATATTACTAATATTATCTCACAAATAAGTACCACATTAACTTTCATTTAATCCTATAATTAAAAGATAGTAGGGATTTATATTTTGCCAAACTCTACAATATTTTAATAAAGTAGCATCGTAATTTATATTGTAAAATAAGATAAATAAGATAAATGATAGACGACATAAGTTATGTCTAAATGTATGAATTAATGCTATGGTATTACATTTTATAGATCTCTATAAGTTACTTTTTTTTAATTTAGTTTGATCATGCAACTAATTATTCAATTTATGGGCAATTTGCTCATTAAAAACTTAGTATAAATAATATACATTCTGTTACAGTGTGTATACAATGTTGTGTTGATGTTCATATGCACATTATTTGCTTGCTCATATCGTTAGACATCTGTAAACAATGTATTTACGTAGAATAAGTAAAAAAAACGTGATATTTGTTGTTGAAAATTTGCCAAAATGAATCACTTGTTGCTGTAGAATCTCTTAACTAAATGCAAGAATAATTAATTTTTATTTGATCTTATACAGTAAGGTGATAAAAATTAATATAAGAATAAGCATCAACAATTATAATTTAATTTATATTTATAAAGTTACAAAAATCTGAGAAGGCTCTGCATTAATTTTAAATTAAGATTGCTATGGGACGATAAAAAGTGATGCATATTAGCCTTAAATATTGGATGCATTTATTTATTTAAGAATAAGCATCAACAATTATCGATAGTAATATATTATGCAGAATATTGCTCCATCACATCTGAGTCGGCGAAAATTAGTTTTAGTAGTTTTCCTGATCCTTTGTCGTTCTTATAAGAGGACTCAATAGTTCTGAGGATGACCACATTAATGGTCCACTCTTTTTGAAACTTTTTTAGTTGGCGTATTTGGATGTGTTGGATTGGAGCTTCGTTGCTAGTTGACATTGTGCACGCACGATTTTGAATAGTTTGTTATATATAAATAACAATGCATATGAAGTACTAAATAAACTCAAAAGAAAAAATATGAGACTATTTCTATATCAAAGGTACCCACTATACAAATTAAAAGTTATGAAATTTAAATTATATATATAGATATGAATTTGCTTTATTTTTTTATTTGAATTTGTAAGTAAATTTTGTTATAATGTTTAAAGTTATTTTAATTTAGATTAGTACATGATTGTGAGGGAACAAAGTGCATGATGTATTAATGAAGTGTAAATTTTTTGAAATTTTATTTATAGAAAAAAACTTTAATAAAATGAAGCTACTTATTACTATAAATCCATAAGCTTCAAAAATGTTATTTGCAATTTGAATTAGTCTCCATGGTCCTTTGGTTGGAGAATTTCCTTGTATACAACATTCTTTGTGTGTCTTTCCTCTTCTACAAAATTTCCATCTGATGTTATTAGGACTTTGGTAGTCATCATAGAAGTACCTCGCGACAAAGCAACATATACTTGCCCATGAGAGAAAACTGGTTGAGGTAGATAGATACCTACATTAGGTATTGTTTGCCCTTGGAGTTTATTAATTGTCATTGCAAAAAATAATCTTTATGGGAAATTGTTTGCGTTTGAACTTGAATAATAATCCTTCATCTTCTGCTGGTGACAATGGTATTCTTGGTAAGAAAACTTCTTTCCTATCGTGTTGTCCCATTGTGACTTTAGCTTGAATCACATTGTAGTTAAAATCTTAACATACCATTCTTGTACCGTTGTAAAGACCATTAGTTAGATCCAAGTTCCTCAGTAAAATAATTGGACAATATTTTTTCAACATGAGCTTGTGTGGTGGTAGTCCATTTGGTAGCAGAGTGTTCAAAAAATTCTTCTTGATATATAATGATGATTATTGTCATCAACTGCTTCATCAAAGCTGTAGAATTCTTTTCCTTCTCCTGAAAACTTTTTTATTAGTCTATCGTTTAACATGTCAACATATTCATTTTTTATTGCAATGATAGCTTTATCTTTCATATAGTCAATAGACTTAAAATTCTCATCTAAAGATGGAAATATTGAATTCGTAGAGAAGCTTCTGGTAGGTCATCACTTTGATTCGTGATCAACATGGCATTAGGCAGTTTTATTAGGTCCTGGGTCAATGTTGGTTCGTCTCCGTTCCCAATCCTAAGAAGAAATTCACTGAAAGTTGTGCCTGATTTTGCTCTTATATTTTTAAATAGAACACTTTTGGTTTAGTTTGGATTTTCGTAGCATAATCAAATGTATGTGCAACCATAACATGTCTGCAAAGTACTTATAGTTTCTCTTTGTAGAATAAACTTTTTGATAATCTTCAACCTGGAGGAGGTTGAATGATAAGAAAAGATATAATCAGGATATAGTTTCATTAATATTAGGATAATGGACAACATTATGCTCTCTTAAAAAAAAATTAATCTCTGTGTATCTACCTTCAAACATTAAGAATTTCTTAACAATCCGAAAGGTGTTTGTCGCATGTAAAAGTATTACTGATTCTTTTAGGTTCATGATGTCCATGATTCTGCCACTTTAATCGTCTAAATGGTAAATTATAAATCTTGATAAACCTAGATACGTTTTAAGTCAGCCTGCTGGCGGTTAAACCTTATGTTGTAGTGTTCTGTTTGAGTTACAACATTAAAATGTATAACTTTCAGGTTATAGGTACATTTGCAAAATTTGGGTTAGTTTGATGAAATATAGTTCTTAGGAAATGTAAGCCAACAAATCCTGTGCCTTTAGAAGCAAGAAATGTGAAAAAAATAAGTTTGATTATAGTAATATATGTTTATGTTTCATCCTCTCTATCTATTTTCCAGGTTTGCTTGATGAATTTTTCTGTCTTGATCATTTATGTTCTGTCTTTGCTTTCAAACTCTCCTTCTATTTCAGGAACAAGAAGATTGTCATACAGACAAAAGGTGCGAATAGCTAAGATGGTCTACTTTTTTTCCATTCATTTTTTTTCCTTGGTGGAAAGGAAAATATAGCCTAAATGATACTTGTATAACTCGTGAAAGACCTTTGACTCTCTTTCTCATGGATGAAGTTACATAGGAATAGGAATATGTTTTACCTGCTGATTAGTGCCTAGTACTTTTCCTATAATTTCAAATGTAGATATATACTCCTGTTTCTTACTACTCTTGCTTAGTCTACAACTGAAATTTAGTTAGTGTGATTTGATGTGTTGTCCTGTGTTTTCTTTCTGTCTGTGTAATGTCCATATTTTCAGAGCATATTCTAATAGTTGCATTCTTCTTGTTGTGGTGCTATTTTTTCTGCAATGAGTTGTTGATGGCAACATTAGTTTTGTTTGCAATGAGTTGTTGAATTAATTCGCTAGAATTCTATATTTCTGTAGATAAATATGATTAAAACGTTTGAGAGGTTGTTGCAGTTACGTTTTTTCTGTTATTAGAATTATTTTAGGTTTCCTTCTATGCCTCTTTGTTTATACCCAAGCTTTATATCTTACTTAAAAAGCCAAAATCTGATGATTTTGAATTACAAGTTGGAAACAGATACTTGCTGGCAATCCTATAAAGTGAGGATGGTTTTCCTTTGGTATGTCTTCAAAAATATTTCTCTTTGTTTTCTTATGCAATTTCTTTAGTTTTGTGGCCTATGTCCATCATTTTGATATTGTATTTTTTGTGTGGCTTTATAGTTGCATCCTCTCATGGCATTTTCGGCTGCATACTTGTGTTTTACTTGTTTGAGATAACCTAACAGGCATTCAAGACTTGTGAAAAACATATCATATTGCAATTTGAGGAACCTGTAGCCCCACACAAAAAAATTATACTGTAACATTGTATTTTGTTTATATGTATCTAAACTTGCAAGTATCAAATAAGCATAGGCTACATATATGACTAATTCTTTTGTGAACAAATTAACATGGAACCATTAGAAAAAAGAGCTCAATACATGACATACTACTAAATTTCTGAGCTATTTTTATTATGTTATCTGTCATCATTTACTTGTTATATGTCACTGTGTTGTGTAGTAATGTGTGACAATGAATTTTTCTACAAAACGTACGGTTTCAAGACTTAAGTAGTTATATACTTAAAAGTTATGTTTGCTGAGATCTTTGATCAGGCATGTGTATGGAAGTGATCCTGAAGTGCCATGGTCTAAACAAACTGGAAACATAATTCTATGGCTCATTTCTATGCTTTATGCTGTTAAATTATATGGTACACAAGCATAATTTTAACTTGTGAAGGTAAAACAATATTTGGAAATAGGGATTGGGGGTGGAAATTTATGTGCCATTTCCCGGTCGAAACCTAATGCATCATTCCTGGCCCCAGGGTTTGTTTGGTTTAAAGGGAAATGAAAGAAAAGAAAAAGAAAAAGAAAAAGGAAAATAAATTTTCGTTGTTTGGTTAGACGGAAAGCAAAAATCTAAAATTTTAGTTCATCTTTTCTTCAACTGAACCCCCCCCCCCCCCAAAAAAAAAAGGGGGGGGGGGGGGGGACATAACATGCCTGCAAAGTATGACATGAATACTTAGATTTCAAGCGAAGTGATATTTTCCAACATATTTTGCTTAGATTTGAAAGAATTTTGATATTTCACTCAAAGATCTCCCAGCACAGTAAGCATCTTGGAAGACCCTCTTAGATTTGAAAGAATTTTGATATTTCACTCAAAGATCTCCCAGCACAGTAAGCATCTTGGAAGACCCTGAAATAAACACCAGATTATTGAGGATCTTGTGAGGCTTTAATGTTAACTATTAACAACAGACAATATTCAGAAATAATCGTTGGATTTTTACAGTAGCCGAATGGTTAACTTTTGTAGCAATTTGAAGTTGTTCCAGTACTTACATCATTATCCAACATTAAAGTTGAGATATCTATGAATTTTTACTTTCACATTTTATGAAATCATGGTTTAGTTTTGCATTTCCTTAAAGAGGCAGAAAGTTCCTTAATTTGCACAATAATCCAAATATTAGAAGGATATATAAGTCACTTCATGCTCACTACAACTGCAAATTTGGCATAGTTGTAGGAGACATTGGAATTGAATGGGTTTTAGATTTTAACTTCAACATTAGCAATTTGAATATAAAACCTCGACTTCTGGTGGAAGCGAACTTCCGTTGTAATAAAAGTGTGAAGACTCAACCAAATTAAATGTATATCAAATATTAATATTTACCTTGATAGATGGGAGAGTCAGCAACCTCCAAATCCTTAATCCTATAAATAATGCAAGAAAACTAAAAAAATTAGAAAAATAACAATTGCCATAAAAACTAATTGTAGTCCAAGAAAAAAAGTAAATTCTAATGAATAGAACCTAAATTGCCTCAGAAAAAACAATTACATTGGTGTTATGCTTAATTTCAAAATACGAAAATTTCAGAATGAAATTTATCACATAAAGATATCAAACAATCTAAGAATTTTCAAAATCAAAATCAAAATCAAAATTATAAATTGATCAAGACATACCAGAAATTATTCTCTTATAAAAACATTGCTCAATTAGTTCACTTCCTGATCCCTAAAATCTGATATTTGAGGAGAAGATGGAAGAGAAGGTTTGTGGATGATGAGGATAATAATAAGCTTCTTGAGGACGATAATAATCATCTTTGCAATTTGATAACCGACAATTGATGAGTTAGAGAGAGTGGTACTGCGTTGCCGGAGGAAATTCGTAACAGATGGAATGGAGAAGGAAAGAAACGAAGATTTAAGGCTTTACATCTTCTGATTTGTGAGTAACGGAAAAAAGGGTATCTTTGTTAAGTTAATGAAATGAAAGATGAGGATAACTTTGTTATATTTACAATAGTTAAAAAGAAATCAGTCAAATACAAGTAGCTATGTGTCATCAGAGATAAATGTGACTGCATCAAATTTACCTACCGACGTAACTTGGTATAGTAACAAGAATGCTTTCCTATACTAACCAACCAATTGGAGACAAGTATCAAAATGCATGTCAACAAATGAGGAACTAATTCTTCAATAAAAATATATTCATTTAGGGGCTGTTTGGTTCGCTATTATAAGGGGTGGAAAACTTAGAAAACCCCTCCACGTCAGCTTTTTTGTTTCCGTCCATTTCTTTGTGCCGCTTTGGTTCGCTCGAATGGAAGAGGGAAAACTCTGCTGAAATCGCCACCAACTAAGATTTTTTTCCCTCTCCGATTTCCTTCCCCAACCAAGTAAAATTGATGAAAACTCTGCCACGTCAGATTTTTTTCCTTCTCTGCTTTGTTTACAAAAGTTTTTCTTTTTTTTCTATGCGAACCAAACACAAGAAAAATAAATACATTGGTTTCCCACCATTTTTTATGTGCGAACCAAAGCAAAACAGTCTATTTCTTGGAAAAGTTTGGAAAACTCAAAACTTGTGTTTCTTTACATGGAATTGCATTTCTCTATATCAAGGAAACGAACCAAACAGCCCCTTATTAGAAAGAACTGCTTTCGTAATAAACCAACTCGTCCTTCATGTTACCAACTTTTTGTCACTAAGAAACACTTAGTTAATAAACAATTAGGCAATCATTAAAAAGTGAGCATCATAGCTTAGAGACGTATATACATTGACGTAGGATGCAGTCAGTATGAAGTGAGCCCAATAGTAGCAAAATAGTAAGTACAAACACTTGTAATCATTCAAATCGTCATCTTTTTCATGTGGAAGGTTACTATGATATCACCTTGTGACGCCCGATGTAGCATCCATCGAGTTCTATAGACCCGAAGAAACCAAGCTTCAAAAGGCACCCTTTCAGCTTGTCATAGACGAGGCCTCTGATCGGAAAAGTTGGGTCATATGCAAATTGCAAGCAGCTCTCTGGATACTTAAGCTGAGATGATCATATTTCCCAAATTAAAAACAATAGAAACTAATTCAATTTCTCACCAATAAATTAATGAAGATATAGATACATATACAGCACAAGTTTGCTAACTAACATCATCAACAAGGTAGTGTTTCTCCAGGTCATATATCAAACTCTGTAAATTTGATGAGTAACGAGCAAGAGTATAGTCTTAGTCAAAACCACAGACTTGAATGTTATCCATTCTGAGGTTCTTGTTTACATAAATACCTAAATTTTGCTCCAAAGGAACGGATTCGGATCCTCTCCACTACAAAAAAAATAGTGGAGGGACCACTACATAATCATGGCCATTGATTATCTAGTTAATGATTGTGAATTTTTCTTTTAGTGCAAATTAGGAATGAGTGCAATACACGGGGGTATGGTAAGTGTTAGATTTAGATTGTATCATAACCGCCTACTAAATAATCAACGATTGAGATTAAAAGCAGTGGTCTCTCCACTACTTTTTTGTAGTGGAGAGGATCCAAATTTTCCTTATCCAACAAGAAATTGATAGCTGTCATCTCAAACGAGAACCTCTCACGTAATTAAAAAAATTTATTGGGACTTTTCCTTATCCAATTACACAAACTTAAAAGTCGGCATTTTAGCCAAAGAAAAGGTTAAGTGAAATCTAATACCTTAAAGTTTCGCCCATTTTCACTTTGAATACAAAAGTTTTAATTTTCCCCCAAAAAAAATACCCCCAAAGTTTTATAATTTTTATAACTTTAATACCTCCTGTTACATAATCGCTCACAATTCTACTTAAAATGCACTATGTGATTACACATGATAACATTTGGCCTTTTTACCCCTAAAGTGAAAAGAAATTCCCTGAATGCTTTCTTCCTATTTCTGTTCTTTAACACTACCCCTTCAAATTTAAAGATTCTCTTTTCCAATAAGAAGTAGACTTAAATATGGCATTGAACTGTAGCAGAAACACCATTGTTAAATGACATTCTCATAGAAAATATAAATCTGAACGATGATGTAATGGAAGCTATTAAAGTTAAAAGTGGTGAACAGTATTGAACAGATGAAATGTCTGATACTATATGAGAAGTTCTCTGATTCTTACTTTAGATATTTTTCATAGTAGTCTACACACAGTAAGTTGTATCTCGATTCTAAAACTGTTTGCATTTAAATTACATGATTGCTACACTGTATCAGTCCCGCATCAGAAGTCCGATACATGTAGTTTAGTATCGGATTCGTGAATCTTAAATATCTTAGTGTAGTTACTAATATAAATATGTTTCATATCTTTCGATGTTTACAGTTTGACACTGTAACTGACACAAAGTTTCTCATGTTTCTATGTGATATACACATGCCCACATATTACTGTTTCCATCTCTCTCAGAGAAATGCAAAAAGGTATTCGAGACACTGTAACTGACACAAAGCTTCTCGTTGTTTCCATCTCTCTCAGAGAAATGCAAAAAGGTATTCGAGACACTGTAACTGACACAAAGCTTCTCGTGTAGTCTCACCTACTTGGGAATAATATTCTCTATAATAAAAGGGCGGAATAAAACGGACTGCTTCTCGTGTAGTCTCACCTACTTGGGAATAATATTCTCTATAATAAAAGGGCGGAATAAAACGGACTAACAGCTGCTATTGGAAAGAAGAGTATTGAAATTCGAAAATTTCTAATACCATGCGAGAATTAATTGGATTTTTACTTCAGAACTTCCGATATAGTTTTATGTTTATTAAACTGTTAGCATTTGAAATATCTGATGCCAAATCAGTTCTGAATCAGAAATGTGTCACATATTACTTAGTATCGGATCCAACCATGTTACATAGCTCATTCTCATTCCTACTTTGGATGTTGCATGAACCTGGAATTGGTTAGTATTTACAGCAGAGAGCTTAAGTTTCACAGACTATCGCTGAACTCATAAACCATTAATCCTAACTAGTAAATGCCTGCATAAATCTACCAGATAACTATAAAAAGAAGTGTTAAATTGCAATTAATACATAAATCAAAACAAAATCTTCAGCTAACTACTATATTTTCCAACCAATAAGGTTTACAAAGAACATCTGATAGGAATCTTTTGATCTCATCATAAATTTAGCACTAAAAAAGCACCCACAACAAAATTTTTACATGCACGTCCAAAAAAAGGGAACTTTCAGGTCAAAACACTAAAAATCGACATAACAGTGACGTATCGCTTCACCTTCAGGATTCATCCTGGGCATCTCCTTGAGCGCCAGTGGAATATTAAGAAAGCTCTTCTTCGCATCCTCGAACTCTCGTCGGATCCTCTTAATCTCATCATCCAAATCCAGCACAACGCTAGGGCTATAAATCTCAGGAGCCACAACGCTGGATAATCCTCTAACAAATCCTCCTTTCTCAAGCCCTAGAATCAATAAAAAAGGGAAATTTTTAGGGGAAAATCAATAGAAATCACAGAAGACCTTGCTCAATTAGTTCACTTCCTGATCCTTCCTGATCCCTAAAATCTGATATTTGAGGAGAAGATTGGAAGAGAAGGTTTGTGGATGATGAGGATAATAATAAGCTTCTTGATGACGATAATAATATCTTTGCAATTTGATAACCAACAATTGATGAGGTAGGGAGAATGTGACTGCGTTGTCGGAGAAAATTCGTAACAGATGGAACGGGGCTTTACATCTTCTGATTTCTGAGTAACCAAAAAAAAATATTTTGTTAAGTTAATAAAATGAAAGATGAGGATAATTTTGTTATATTTACGGTAGTTGAATGGTAATTCGGGTAGAAAAAGTTTTTCTAGTATTCTCTCTTTTGAAGGGTAGATAGATGATTGTTTGATTTTTTTTAAAGGAAATTAGGGGTCTTAGCCTTTTTTATTTATAGAGTATGATATGAGAAGCTTTTATTATGCAATGTTATTTGAGATTTTGATTTTACGGCCAGTTTGGTATTACTTAAGCTTATAATAAGTTGCTTTAAAGACAACTTATAGAAACAACTTATATAAACGACTAGATATAGTTGTTTAATAATGAAATATCAAAACTGCTTAGAAAACGATTAAGCTGTGCTTAATGATTATTGTTAAATGATAAAAGATATATATATGATACGTAAACTGAAAAAAACAGAAGCTGTTTTTAAAAGCATCCCCAGTTTGCTTCTTAAAAAGTCCTATAAAAGTAAAAGCAGTTTCAATAAGCATGCTAAATTTTTTTTTCCACCAAACGCGGTTATTAGTTGTTTCTTGAAAAAAAATAAGCAAAAATACCCTTAAAAAAAAACAATACAAAACTGGCTTCCATGCCAAGGGAAGTTCTTGTTTTTAATCTTTTGATTATTCACCCACCAATAAAAGTGAAGGGCTCTTGCTCATTAACTTCGTTAACCATTAAAAGGTTTGAGTTGATCGATGCTTACGATAATACCTATCAATAAAAGCACAAAGCGCACACTGACGACACCATCAACCAATAAACTTACAATGTTTATATCCATTAGCACCTTTTATAAAGTGGAATATAAGAGCGTGTAAGACTTTTGTTGCATAGATACGAAATTATATAATTTTCCAAATAACCCTTCTCTTATGTCCAATACTTTGATTATAATCATTTCTTGTAAAACCAGGTAAACAAATTTAAACAAACACAAATAGCAATGCCTCGGTTACTCAGATTCGAACGGTCACGCTACCAAAGATAATGAGGAGATCCCCATTGACAAATTAAGCAAGAAAGATAATGTTCGAACGGTCGCATCATCAAAGAGGTGATGTCTAGCATTAGATGAAGGATAATCAAAGATAGTTCGCTATAAATTGAAGGAATTAAATATCAACCAGAAAAACGAAAGAAACAAGCTAACCTGCATGTCTTTGCACTATCAGAGTCTAACTAATTAATCAAGATAGGCGTCCCAAAATGAAAATAAGTAACCATGCTCCGATCGATGTTAGGAATATTTCATCATTAGTGTTATTGAGATGATAATCGCCACTACAAAGTTGAAGTCCACGTGGCAAGGTTATCCTTCATGAGACTCAAAATCATTTGATCCTTGTATGATTCTGCATCCATCGTGTCTGGTGCTTGATCACTGCTTCTTCAAAAGCTAGTCTGTTGATGCGGCAAGCCCTGGGTTATTATGAAAAAAGAAAAAAGAATTACATCATAAGGGCTAGAATAACTTATGCCAATATCACAAGGAACTGCAACGTGTCATTTTCACCTTATATATGTATCAATATGCAGCTATTTCTATACTTCGTAGCATGCTAGAACAGAAGCTTATTTGAGTAAATAACTTTGCTGCATGTTTGCATCTGATGGACATTTCTTTGTTCTTTGCTTTATTTTTTTCCAGATTAATAGAAGATGAATAATTTTAAAGAATGGTTTTCTTACAAGATGTTATCTAAATCATTACTCTCTGCCATGTAAAGATATCACCGATAGTGCTTAGCACTAGCCCAAGACCGTAATATCCGAGAAACCCGAAAGAAACCAAGAGAATAAACCTCTAAGTATGAAGAAGAATATGAAGAACACTTAGAGAACACTTGAAAGACTTTTAGAGAAATGTAGATGACTTATGAAGAGGAAGACTCTTTATTTGAACTTGCTTTATTCACTTGTTCAACTTTTTCTTCTTTTTCTTACAAATGAGAGAGGTCAGGAGGTATTTATAGCCTCCCAAAGATATGTTACAAAGGATCTAGATTCTTCTAATATCACCCCCATAGTTCCTAGATATTTTTCTAATCTTTAGAAATTTTTACATAATATCTAAATATTTTTATCACAAATTATCTAGATGTTTCTATACTATTATCTAGATATTTAGCTTAAAGATTTCTCTAGAACACTTTAAGGAGGTGATCAACCTTCTAGAGTGTTTCTAGAAAACCTCTAGAATTTGGACCTAATTTTGGGTTTGGTCAAACTTAGAATAATTCCATCATAAACCCAAAATTAAGCTTGATCCAAAATCAAGTTTAATTTCAATACTCCCCCTTAAACTTGATTTTGTCAACCATCCCAAGCTTCGAGCGAGTAACTCAAATTGGCCCTTTGGTAGTGACTTGGTGAAGATATCTGCAACGTTGTCTTCGCTTCGAACCCCCAAAGCTTCAATTGTTCCATCAAGCACCTTCTCCCGTATGAAATGATGTTCTAACTCGATATGCTTCGTCCTTGCATGAAACACCGGATTATTAGCCAACTTGATAGCACTTTGATTATCTCCATAAATTGCAACCGGCTTATTTATTGGCTCCAACAAATCTTCAAGGAGTCTTCGAAGCCATATACACTCTTGAGCTGTGAGTGTTGAAGCTTTATACTCCGCTTCAGTGGTAGACAATGACACCGTTGCTTGCTTCTTGCTGCACCACGAAACACTTGTGTCTCCACATAAGAACACATACCCTGAAGTTGATTTTCGATTATCTAGATCTCCAACAAAGTCAGCATCCGTGAAACCATGAAGAGAAACCTTGGCATTGTACTTGTACATCAGACCCATGCCAAGAGTTGTCTTTACATACTTCAAAATCTTCTTTGCCGCTTCTAGATGTAGCTTCCTTGGTTCTTGCATAAACCAACTTACGAGACCCACCGCGAAGGCAAGGTCAGGTCTTGTAATGGTTAAGTATAGAAGACTTCCTACAAGAGAGCGATAAGGTCGAGGATCAGGTAGCAAGGACCCTTCATCGCGTTTAAGCTTTATGTTCACGTCCATCGGAGTAGTACGTGTCTTCCCTTCGTGTACTCCGAACCTTTCAACAATCCTTCTTGCGTAGCTTTGTTGGCCGACAAATATTCCATCCTTTACCCTTTCGACCTCCAAACCAAGAAAATTGTTCAACTCACCCAACTTCTTCATCTCAAATCTCACCGACATATCCTCTTGTAGACGAGCAATTTCAGCATCATCATTCCCAGTGATGATCATATCATCCACATAAAGAAGAACCACCACGTGGACTCCTCCATTCTTCTTGAAGAATAGACTCGGATCACCCGAGCTTCGAGCGAAGTAACTCAAATTGGCCCTTTGGTAGTGACTTGGTGAAGATATCTGCAACGTTGTCTTCGCTTCGAACCTCCAAAGCTTCAATTGTTCCATCAAGCACCTTCCAACCAAAGCTTGCGGCTAAAGATAAAAGTGAGCGTACCGTAGTCATCTTTGCCACTGGACTGAAAGTTTCATCATAATCTTCTCCATATTTTTGAGAGAACCCTCGAGCAACCAACCTTGTCTTAAATCTGTCAATGCTCCCATCCGTTTTTTGCTTAATTCGGTACACCCATTTACAAGAAACGGGTTGGACATCCTTGGGTTTTGGAACCAAATCCCAAGTTTTGTTTTTCATGAGAGCATTCATCTCCTCCTTCATTGCGCCCTCCCACTCTTGAACTCCTTTTGCTTCATCATACGATGATGGCTCCTCTTCATCTAATGGAGCTGCAAAATAGCATGAGTAAGTAGTGACAAACCTTTCATCTCTGAACCGAGCAGGCTTAACAATGTTCCTTTTTGGCCGTTGATTAGCCATGGAACTACGATCTTCTTCCTCATCTTCCTCTTGATCAGTGCTCCCCCTTTCACCTTGCGTATCTTCTTCAAGACTTTCGCTTTTACTTGGCATTTGAACAACTGGTTCATCGATCTTGGAGGAACCCCCATCTTCTTGTTCGACCAAGACTTGAGGTGGCCCATAAAATGAGGAAACTTCATCAAAGACAACATCACGAGACACAGTGTACTTATGTGTCTCTGGATCCATACACCTCCAGCCCTTCCTTTGTTCATCATAGCCGATAAAGATGCATTTCTTCGCCTTTGCCTCCAACTTGGTTCTTTGAGAATCAAACACGTGGACGTAGCAGATTGATCCAAATATCCTGAGATATTTCACCGTTGGCTTCTTCCTATGAACCATCTCATAAGGAGACTTCATATTGTTCGGACTAAGTGGCATCCGGTTGATGACATACGCTGCACATCTCATGCCTTCTGCCCATAAGGCCTTAGGCAAATTTTTATCATGTAACCAGCTTCTATATGTCTCGCTTAGATGTCTTATCTTCCTTTCCTCTACTTCATTTTGCTGAGGTGTATACGGACATGTAAATTCTCTCTTGATACCATGTTTTTGGCAAAAAGAGAGAAACTCCTTTGACATGAACTCCCCTCCATTATCCATCCTTAAAGTCTTAATCTTCTGACCTAATTCTCCCTCCATGGTAACCTTGAATTCTTAAAACTTGAAGAATACTTTTGATTTTTCCTTCATAAAATATACCCAAGTGTACCATGAGAAGTCATCAACAAACAGTAACATGTATCGAAACCCAGAATAGGAGGATGTTCTCGTCGGACCCATCAAATCACTATGGACCCTCTCCAACGGAGCGCTGCATCGTGAAGTGGAGTTGTCAAATGGAAGCCTATGTGACTTTTCATATTGACAGCCTTCACAAAGCTTTCCTTCATCATGAATCTTCAACTTTGGGAGCCCGTTAACCAAATCCTTATTCACCATAACCTTTAGCTTAGTCATATTTATATGACCAAGCCTAGCATGCCATATAAAGGCATTATCATTCGTACTCATCTTCTCAACATAAGAATTTGAGGCCGATAAAACATATAAATCCTTAACCCATGCTCCGGTGTGAACC